GGGGGGCCCGTGGGGTGGTTTCCAAAGGCCGCTCTGGTACAGCTGGGGTGGTGGGGTCCCTGCGGGGTGCGCTGCGGGAGGCCAAGCCGTGGTACAGGTGTTGTGCTCAAGGAGCAGCAGTAACTGGTGTGGTCTGGCAGTACGTGGATCCTGTGTACGTTTCCCTGGTACCTTTGCTCGCAAAGGGTCGCCCATGACGAGAGGAAACCACGCAGCTGTCTTCTTGCTAAAGCACTAGAGAAGTTGTCGAAGATTTGGTGGTAATAAATTCAGTGTTGCTGGGGAGGATGGCACCGCTTCAGCCACCAGTGGTTCAGATGTATCTCAAATGTCTTTTTGAAGATTATATCAGTTAGTTATTTTTTTCTCATAAAATGCTGATGAATGATTAGTAGGGAAGAGAGGTTTGTCCAGCTGGCCTCAGTCAATGGACTGACTTGAAATTTACCCTGCTTTTAATTTCAAAGGATCTTTGTGTATGCAGCCAATGTTTATACTAGATTTACTTTGTGTATGGGAAATTAAAGGAGAGCTACTTTTTAATTTCCAGCTCCAAACTGAAGGTGCTTCCAAACATCAGACGTGCTGGTTAACTTTGTGGTAGTATTTTAATGTCACTCAAGGAGTTTGAGACCTGATTGAGTGTGATAGTTTAACACCTTCCTATTTTTTTTCTATAATTTTCTGTATCTCTATTGGTACAAAATTAAACAAGCTAGTAGTTCAGATATTGGTTCTAGTAATTTAATTTCACTAAAACAACTACTTGTTATGTTGTTTGTCATGATTTCCTGTTGATTGGGGCTTATTATTTATTGCATTCTGATTTAATATATTAGTCTTGCTTTCCCTAGCATCTAAAGTTATCAGATGTTAACAGCTAAAATCTATAACTTTCATATATGAGGCTTTAAAATTTTCATACCAGAAAATTAACTCGTTTTTTGTGTTAGAGCAAATGTTAGATTATGTGTTCTCTACAACTATTCAGCACTCCTGATTTTTATGAGAAATTGTAGCTTATGTGCTGTGCAGGCAGGCAATACATAAGCGCATTAAAATATACTTCCAAGAAGCCATGGGCAGTCTCTTGGATTCCATTTAGAATAAATGTATATGTTAAGGTTCACAAAGGTAAAGGTAGAGTAGATAGCTTGAGGCTGTGCTGAACATGTGGTGCACCTTTGGATAATCTTCAGAATTCATTCCAGTATGTTTTTCAGCCATTGCAACCTGAATCTAAGTCTTTTTTTAACTATGTAATCAATAATGTGACTGAAAACTTTCTTGGGTTTGTGAAGTTATTCTAATAACTTTGTTTTTTCTCCCAGGCTACCTTTGTAAGGTTTCTTCTAAGGTTTCCTATATTTAATTTTTTGTTGGTAGGATTTAAACTACATTTCCTCATCTGCTCACTATATTTATTTCTTCATGCTCTCCTTTTCTCCACTCTTCTACTTCTGAGGTCTACAATGAGCTTTGTCTTTCCAGAGACTAGAGATAACTTTACTGAAAGCTTCCTGGTCATCTGGAGTGATCAGGATAGCTTTTCTTTCCATCTTAGTTGCTGAGTACATTTCTTACATTGTGCTATAATCTAACTGGTTTGAATACACCTTGCTTCTGTATCATCTTTAAGGTTTAGAATTTTGAGTTTCTATAATTAACCTGGATGTCCCTAAGATTAAGCAGACAAGAATCTGCAGTTAAAAAAAACAAACCACAAAATAGTTTCTTTCTTAACTGGAATACTATACTTGTTACATACTTTTCCAGATCTGATGTACTCAGTTATTGAAAGTAATTGACAGTCTTGTTCTTGCAGATGTTCGTATAAGGTGACAACTACTTTGCTAGCTAGAAGAACTAGGTGGAGCTTGCTCTGGAAATAAGTCAGAACAACATGTGATTAGACAATGGTGCTGAATAGGTTACTTTTCAGCAACCCAGTTTGCTTTTGCTCCCATAGGAAATGAGGTGTTCATGACACTCATTCTTCATTACGTTGTGAGGAAAAAAATATTTCTATTTGTCATCTCTATTGAGGTGTGTACAAATACTGGTTTGTACTGGGAAAAGTCTAAATTAATCTTGATTCTTATGAAGAATCTAAACAGCTGTGTGTCAGTTTGAGGACTTAAGTGGCCTAAAGTTAAGTTCTAGTGACGCTTTTCTTCTTGGAACTTCCTCTTGGTGAGGTTTTGTTCGAGTTATAATTCCTTAGTAATTCAAAGGATGTTGTAGGTCAAGATAAATGTGTAGTAGCAGCATGGCATATAGAAAAATTCCACAGAACTGATCTCCATTGTGTGGCTGTAGTGTGCATAAAAGGAAACACTATTACACGCTAACTTCATCTTTTTAGTAATTTGTATAAAATTCTTGTCACTTCTGTTTAGAGCACTGAAATAATGCTCACAGAAGCCATTTAGGGAACAAGATGTTAACTTTCTAAAATTGGGAAACTCCCGAGACCTGCATTCCAAGTAGTTTACTTTAAAACTTCTGGTTTATGCATGCTTTCTTTTGATTGCAAATTGTATAGTTGGGAGAATATCTGATCGATGTTTACCACTAATATAATTTTTGCTTGCAGATAGTTTCAGCATTAGTTTGGAATTAAATTATCATTTGATTATATGCAAAAAGCATGTTGTTTAAATTTTTGAACCTAAGAAACAGATTAAAAGCATTATGTCCTAAATGTTGTAGCTGCAAGGACTTGCTTTTATCAAATTGTGTCCAAGTCAAACTTGTTTGTGTAAAATCTCTCTCTTTTGGATTCCACCAGAAATGTGAAATAGAGACTCGGCAATTTTCTGTCTGCAACAGACATCGCAATACCACAGTTCCTTCCAGTGAGCATGTCAAGTATGTCATGAACAAGTTGTGCTTCTAGGGAAACTTACTGTAGGTAGCAGTTGCTGGACTAGCAAGCTCAACTGAATTAAGGCAAGGTGTGATAGTCAATAAAATGACAGTGGATTGCGTTAGGGCCGCTAAACATTCTTAATCGCAACTGCACCTTGCAGCTTCACTGTTCTGTACCATCTATGGCTTATTTTTGTACTATGGTTTATTAATTTTGGAAGTGTGTATGAGACGTAATTGCATTTGGATAGCTTTTTGTTTGTTTCTATATCAAGGCATGGTTTGGAGGTGTAAGGGAATAGTTAAAACTGCCTCATCGCCACCACCACCCCCATTAGTAAGATTTCTGTTATCCAAGTTTTGTTTGGATCTCAGGTGTGAGAGAAGTGAAAAAATTCTGAAAATGCAGCATCAACCTGCATTCTTGTGGTTCAATTTTTGTCATAGTTCTTGAATATCCAAAGGATTCTTGGTAAAATTGATCACAGCTCCCTTGTACAGGCTTTACTGTATTTTATGTTAGTTTTTCTTCTTTTTAGAAGTAATTTTTAAGTATGCACTGTTGACCTTGCTTGGAGCAGGAGACTGAACCAGATAACTTCCTGGGGTGCCTTCCAACCTGAGTTGTTCAATGATTTCAAGTGTGCAGTGGTTATGGTAAGAAAAAAGTGTCACTGGTACAACAGTAACAAGAACAAAAAGTGTGTGGCGCACATAGCAGCTAATGTAAGGAAGGTAGCATTTATCCTTTTGGTGGTATTGGTGCTACTGCCTCATTTAGTAGCTTTCCTGACCACTTCAGGTAAATTTCTGAACATACTTGCTGACAACTACATTTAGACAACTTGCACCTACAGTCTTGAGCCATGCAAATATCTGGCTTAAGATTCAGATTGCTTCACGCCCTCAATATCCGCGCTCACCTGCAGTAGTTACTTTTGAAATAGTTATGTTCAAGCAGCTGGACATCCTCAGCCTTTTAGATGCTGTAAATAAATGGATATAACATCTATCTTTCTGGCTTTCCCTGCCTTCATTTTTCTTGACCTTGTAGCTAGTTGGGACATCCATATATTCCCCCCCACCCCACTAATCAGAAACAAAAGAAGGAGTTTTGATATCTTCTGCTTCAGTTCTGAAGCCTATAATTTCCAGAGTAGGATGATGAGTTATCTGTATCATCGTGTTCCCCAAAACTAGCCATATCTTGTTTTATACCATTCTCTGTAGACAGTATTTTAAGGCTCTTCAACAATTCAGTCCTTGAGATTTCACTTTGCATATGAACTTGCTAAGAAAGTCTTGTCTAAAACTAGTAGTCCACCATTCAAGAAGCTATCATATTAAAGGATTACATGGTTTACTCGTATCAATATTTGAATAGCCGTATGCTGATGATTTCCTCACAAGTAGGGTGTTGGTAATGCTACTGTTAGCACTTCATAACTGTAAACTTGAACTGCTTACATGACAGCA